AGGGGAATTGCAGGTGCGTTGCCGGCCCTTTAGAAAGGAGTAAGCTCTTTTCTTGAAGGTCCCCAGGTCGTATCGGTCCGGAAAAATAGCTGGTGGTAAACTATTCCACAGAGAGGTTGTACGCGGAAGAAAACTCCTCTTGAAACGTACAGTGGCGGACCGCCAAGCTATGATGTGGTGGTATCACGACGTTTGCCGCGTAGTGCGTTTACGAAATTTGGCGGCTGGGATTAATCCGAACAATTCCTCAGAGCACTCTCCATGGTATATGCGAAAGAATATGCAAAGAGATGCAACATCTCTTCGCAGTGCCAGTGAATCGAGCCGATCGGAAAACACTCGCCTCTCACTTCGCCTACCGGTACGAGGCTGCCACTCAAGAACCTTTTTTCTCCAACGGTTGTCGGTTCTTCGAGCTATATGGCCGGCCCATTGCCACTTCAGCTTACTAATCCGTTGGGCTATGTCGGTCACTCTGGTTCTACTGCGGATGTCCTCATTTCTAAGTTTATCACGCAAAGAAACCCCGAGCTTAGCCCCCTCCATAGCTCGCTGAGCGCCTTTGAGCGTCCTCATATGGCGATCAGTGAAGGACCTCGTCTCGGTTCTGTAGGTCATCACTGGTAACACGCACTGATTGTACAACTTAGTTATCAGGTTTTGAGGTATCCTTGATGAGAAGATGTGTCGTAATTTCCTGAACGCTGCCCAGACGAGTTGAATCCGTCGATTGACCTCTCGGTCGAAGTTGGACTTACCTAGTCGGACTATTTGTCCCAGGTAGACATACTCGTCAACAACTTCGAGCTTAATGCTCCCAACAACTACGGACATAGGTGTGACATGAACATTAAACATGATCTTAGTTTTGTCCATGTTCATCTTAAGACCTATCCGTTGGGAGACACCATTGAGGTCATTGAGCATAGTGCTTAGGTCCACCAGCGATTCTGCCATAAGGACTATATTGTCGGCAACTCGAAGGTACCGTATCCTTTCCAGTCCAGTAGCGTGAAAACATCTGAGGAAAGTTTCGGGGCGTCAACCTGTCTTACCTCTCTCTGCAGTTGGATAGCTTTCGTACTCTGGTTCTGTACTCGGATAGCCATCGTAGCTCTACTGTACAAACACTTCAGTACATCGATATACCGACGGTCAACTTGGCACCGCTAAAGGGACTGTAGCACCGCCCAAATTTCGACGACGACGAATCAAAGACTTTCTCATAATCCACATACGCCAGGCAAAGTGGCAGTTTGTACTCTTCGGTCTTCTGTACAATTTGCCGAAGGGTATGTATGTGCTCTGCGGTGTTAAAGCCTTTTCGGAAACCGGCTTGTTCGGGAAGACGTCGAGTCTGCGTGCGAGACGATTCGTAATGACTCTCGAAAACAGCACGTAGACGCGGCTCAGAAGAGAAATCGTTCTGTAGTTCTTCAGGAGAGCGTTGTTACCTTTCTTGAAGAACAATACACTTCTGCTCCACGCCTCGGGAGTAGTGACACCATGGAGGAGGGAATTAAAGAGCTTCTGAAGGACTTCAAGTACTTCAAGTAGGTTTTCCACTCACTTTCAGCTCCGCTGTAATTCCATCCACGCCCGGGGACTTGCCGTTTTTAAGGTGCTGAAGAGCCATTCTAATCTCGCTCGGACTGACGTTCGGGATATATATATAAGACTTGCTCTTGGATCGTTACTCACACTTACGTGTGGCTCCAACGATGACGTGTACAGCTGCCCATAGAAACTCTTAATCTCACTCAAAATCTCAGGTGTCTCGGAAACAATGTGCCACATTCGGTCTTCAGCTTCGACAGTTGACTCTTTCTGGCAGACAGCTGTTCTGTTGAAGCTGAAGACCGAGTGTAAAAGTAATAGGTATTAAAATGTCGAGTCATTAATTATGTTACGTAAATTTGCTCTTGAAAAAACAGGCATTTAACATTAATAAAAAAGAACCAAAAAAGCATGGTAGTACAATATAAAATTTAATGCATAGACCAATGTAGTAGTCAAAATTATAATATTAAGTCAAAATTATATATTAAGCGAAATACAGAAACTATACATCCGATTGACTTGTTTAGTACAGTTACCCACTTCGCAATATAGACACTCACTTAAAACGGATTTTACGATAGTGCCATAAAAAAAACATCTTGATATTTTATATCCACGTTATTATCGTCATGATCGTGCGCCCAGTGAAGCGAGCAGGTAGCAGCTAGTACGAGTATATAGGTGATGATAAACTGTATAATGAGGTACATGAAATGCAGTATAGGGGTTGAATATCATTTGCAGATTATTATAACTTTAAATAAATTATTTTATATAATAAATATACTGTTGCTGTGTGGCTACGTTTGTGTGTGGTCCAACAAGGTCCTTTAATTGTGTACCTATGTGTCTAGAGTTAATTTTGTGTATAATGTAATTTATTAAATGCTATTAATCATTGAGTAATAATTTATTTCTTAATACAGTGAATTAATAATTTTGATTTATTACAAAAATAAAATCAGGGTAATCTGTAATCAGGTCATGTGAATTTTAGGTCATCTAGCATTACGATTGTGTACGATAACCATAGATTATATTTAGTACTAAATCTGGAGTGAATCGCGGCGAGGTTTGTTATGAAGTCTGACGTTGACGTTTGGTTTCGTGTTGTGTAAATGTATCAGTATCGATTATAAGTCGATGACTCCCGTAAAAGAAAAAGAAGAGATCTCCCGCCGGGCAAGGTGTTCTGCCCGAGGAGCGGCTAACGTTCCGAATGGCAGTTCGGAGCAATTTTATATTTATTATGTGTTTCGCTTGTGGTGCGACGACAGCGCCGCCATAACTCTGTCAAAGAGTATAATATTATAATCACTAGGTTTTAGATTCTATAATAAGTTTTATTTTAAGAGCTGCACGGACGGAGAAACGTCTCGCATGACTGTACAGATGTACGGACGTAGTCATCTTGTACAACGATCGAAACTGTACCATCCAGTTAATCCCGTACCTAAGTGTTCACATAACAAGAGAGTCCAATAGAATAGAATAGTATAATTTTGTATAAAATAGGATACAAGCAACACTTATTGAAAGTTGTTCATGCTGTTGCCTCAGATTTGGAAAAAATCTTTTGCAGGACTAATCAGCAAGATCCGATCGAGAGTTTAAAAAAAATATACAATATTAAGTTCACAATTTTATATGTACATAACCGTATAGTGGCGTCATAAGAAATATCAATTTTCTTATTTTTGATAGACTGTCACTATTATCTATTTAAATTATTACGCCATTCGAGTGAAATAAGTAAAAGAAACTAAAAGATATGCATTAGAAATATCAATTTTCTTATTTTTGATAGATGGTCACTATTATCTATTTAAATTATTAAATCATTAAAATGAAATAAGGGAATGAAACTAAAAAATGTACATTAGGAATTTCAATTCATTTTATATATCTAATTATGTAAACATATCAATGTAAATTATTTATGTATACTGTTTATTTTAAAAGTAACTGAAGGCGCGATACACTTTTTGCATTATATTATAGTGGACGCTGTTTTGAAAATGTAAGACGTGGATAGGCGGCTAATTTCAAATTATTATACAACAGCTAAAATATTTTTTAATAATATAACTAACTTATAACTAACAAAATCTAAAAATATAAAAAGTAACATCTTAAGGAACGAAATAATTAAGCCTCTTTTTTAAAATTCCGTAATCAGTAAAAAGTAGCCTATAAGTTGCCCCGAGTTTCTAACTATCTATTTAAAAAAATTATGGAAATCCGCACGGTAGTTTTTGGGTGAATCCTGAATACACAGACGGACGAATAGAAATTTGGCTTCAGTACTATTACTAAATCACTATTCTAATAATAAGTCCAGGGAACTAGTACATTTATTTAATTTTTGTCCAAAGGACTTATTTTTCCAGAAAATATAAGAATTGTAGATACGACTTTTCTCCGGATTTATTATATGTACTTATAGATTTAGTTAAAAAAAATAAACTTCCGTTCACTTTTTTGTGAAAGTTCAGTTTACCGGTCAGAAAATAAGTTGTGCTTTATAAACTTGTTGATAATTTTTTATCACATCAGTCACTAGTTGTGAATAAAGATGGCCACCGTGTCGCACCTAGAAAAATTACCCTTCCACAGAATTTCCATTTTTTTATATAGATTAGTTTTATATTTAGCTATGTTCTTTTTCATTGCAACTTTCGTAAATAAAAATTGGTAACGACAAAAGCCACGCTACAGCTATATTACGGTTTTAGGACGAATGAGTCGGCTCGAGCGGGGAAGGACCACGCTCTCACAGAATAACAGCGTAAAATAGCAGCTTAATAATGCTGTGTTTCGTATGGTGAGTGTAGAGATCCGGAGACCCTTATTTTCTGGAAACGAGGCATTGCATCTTAGTCCTCAGGGGTGAAAACGCATTGGCATTTTGATTCTTAATCGAGGATAAATGTAGATGTCTAAGGTCCACAGCATCCACTTACCATCAGGTGGACTGTGTGCTAGTTATAGATAGTGTAGTAAAAAAATCATTTTTTTTTCAAAATAAATAACATAATCTCAAAATCTTCTTTTTCTGTAGCTACTTAAGTTTTAAAACAATCTGCTGATAATTTTTAATAATTCATACCTTTTAATAATTTTAGATATATACCGATTAGTTCTTTGAATTTTTTACTAGTTTTCAAATAATAGAATTACAGGCAATTATCAGCAAATTATGGCCAATTATCGGCATATATGTTCCAGCATAAATAAAACACTGTACAATCTTCTTGTCTTAATAACACATTAATCCTACACAAATTACAGAGTGATGTGCGATAGAGAGATCTGTGATTTCTACGACATCATTATTTAAAAACCGTTCCGGTGACTATAAATGAAAAGTCGTTATTTTAGAGTAGGATATAAAGAGTGAGGACCGTTGCCTGATTGCATTTGAATTTAGACTTGCCACGATGTCTATCTTGCCAATAATTTATTTATCTTTTCTTGTTACCTCAGGATCGTTTGCAGGTATATCTTTAATTTATTTATCAATGGATATTTATTTTTATATGTTACTGCACCGTGTAGTGGCGGTGTAAAAATATCCACTACCCCAATATCGTCCCGTGGATATCGTAAGCCGCCACGGTGGGAAACAAATCAGGAGGTGGTAGAGCCATGTTGCAGCTATAGTATATTTGTGGCTCGATCGGGGAAAGACCGCGCTCTCACAGAATACCAGCATAAAATAGCAGCTTAACGCTGCTGTGTTTCTTATGGTGAGTGTAGAGAACCAGAGACCCTTTTTACTGGAAAAGAGGCATTCCGTATTAGTCCACACGGGTGACAACGCATTTGCATTTTGATTCGTAATGCAGGATAAATGTAGATGTCTACGGGCCGCAGCAACCACTTATCATCAGGTGGACTGTGAAATGAACAGCTGCATCTTCATAATAACAACGTAAAATTAAAAAATATACAGCTTATTTATTTTTGGACTTACGTTTCTAGTTAATGTTTAAATATATTTTTAAGTTTAAAATATATTTTCTATATACATATTCATTCCATTTATTAAACATAGTGCTAGCGTATATGATAGTATTTTTATAGCCTGATGATAGACATAAATAAGTTCTAATAATAATTTTATGATAAATAAGCATAGCTATTTCTACTACTTACCTATTTTATACGTATAACATTCTGACCTAGCGTAATCGGTACGCATAAGAAGGAAATTAATGTTCGTATTCTCCTTGTATGACTGCGTCCCGCTATCGCACTGGTCACTGGCACAGGTTATTAGATTTAGTGACGATAACTCCGTTATATTATAAGAAGTCATCAGAGTTTGTTGGCTTATCCTTAGAACTTATTTATTTAACGTCGCATCTTATGCTGACACTTTAAGCACCTTCGGCAATGTAACTGTGATTTAAGTAATAAACAAAATTGAACAAAAATAAATCTCTTAAAAAATCTTCATTTTACCGTTACCGTAATAGCCTACTGAAGTCCACTGCTGAATATAGGCCTCCCTCATAGATTGCCACGTAGTGGGGATATTTGCCATAGTTGCCACGCTTGGCAAGCGGATTGGTAACCGCAGTTTTTTTATTCGTTATTAGGAAGACGTTGCTGCCCATATCCTGATTTATTTCTCTCTGTCGCCTCTTACGAAACCCACGGGATTATATGATATAGTGGATATTCTTACACCGCCACTACACGGTCTTCATATTACGTAATCTAATATTTAGCACTGGCCGTTTAGAAGGATAGTATGAAATGCTTGTTTTGTTTTTTAAATGAGAAAGGACGCCATTTCGATGTTTGCATTGCCATTTTTGTTAGACACCACAGTCCACTAATGTAGTAAAAGATTACTGTTCCGTAAATTTCCAAATATATTACAGGTTCATATATTTAAGTAGATAATCTAAAAGAAATAATATCTACATACATATTATTGTCTTTACCATGTAGTGTAGCTAGTGTAAGTGTAGTGTGAGTATAGTGTAAGTGTAGTGTAGCGAATTCATTAGGGGCCGTCCATTAATCGCGAGGCTCGAAGGGCGGGGGGGTAGGGAGTTTGGCAAAAATCGCGAAATATCACAAGGGGAGGGGGGTATAGTAAGATTATCACGTGTATTTATTTTTTGTGCGATTTGTGCGATTTCTAAACCGAAAAGCAGCGTGTAATGTGACCTTGACTCGCCTGTACATATAAATCCTGAACCGAGCAATAATAGTCTAGAGATGTATAATGCTCGTCCGTCACGCATACTCACGCGACGATCGATCGGTGGATCGACAGAGATTCTCTGTGTAGGGTGCGAAAATGATGACACCGAGTGGCTTGATGAAAGTGAATGATCTTCAACAAAGAACAGTGCCAACAACTGACTAGCAAGATGCTTATCCAGTTTTTAGTGTTGTAGATAGTCTTGCTAATCCGTTCTCCGAGGACAATGTGCATTAAATATGTTTATGTACTCTAGTACAATATACGTTTTTCGCATGATTGCACCATCCCTTCAATATTATTTTTATTCCAGTCAAAACAACCTGCAACCTTTGCGTCTAGACATTTTTATCATGGTCTTTAATTTCAGAATAAAACTAGATTACACTTTATAGGTACTAAAAATACACGTGACTTTGGATAGGGGATTAGTGTTAACCCTCACCACGTGATTAATGGACGGCCCCTTTCCTCATGTACTTCCGTGGGTGACGTAAGAGGAGACATAGGAATAAAACCAGCATCTTTCTAATAACAATAAGCAAATAAAACTGAGGTTGTCAGGAGTGCCAAAATTGATAAATAAACCCCTTAAAAAAGAACCCAATGTACAGTAGTCAACTTCGATAAGCTATAATGATGAGGATGATGACATATTGTCTACCTTGTTCGAATTTTGAATTAAAAATTGAATTTTAAAAGTTATCCTGGTATGTGTTTCCTATTTCAGCTGCTTTTAAAAATACCGGTGGCAAAGACAATGTTCATCAAGAAATTATGACCATACATAATGGAGATGACATAGTTGGAGTATCATCCGTAGCTGGCGTCACCTCAATGAACGGAAAAGTGTCATCAGTTGGAGGAGTTAAATTCTTCCCCGCACCTGGAAAGGGTGGCGGTAAAAACAGAGATACATTTACATTCGCGTACCCAATAAATGGAAACAAAGGAATGGCGGAAGGTTCCATATCGATGAATCCAGGATCAGTAGTGGTATCGTCATCTTCTTACAATACAAAGATACCTGAACGCAACACTTGGCACCAACTCCATCCAATGTTTGATCCATTAATGCATTGGCCAACGATAAACGACTTTATCTTTCCACATCACTTTGATTTTGATTCAACATTTATAGATCCCTGGTTTCCTAAAACTATGATTGATCGAAATGTTCCAACAAAATCAGTTTTGAGGATGTACCCTAATTTTAATCCTTTTTTAAATCTATGGAGATAGATTAAAAAAGAAAACAAGGTAAAGTAACCGCCCTTCAAATGACAAGTTATACTACATTAAAATGTCTGCAGTGGAATATAAAAATTTACGACTTCTAAGAAGCCACTGAAGTATAATGAAGTAGTGTAGGTAGTAGCTTATCGAGATTCCGTTCAAAATGAATTTGATCACCGTTCAATGCCCCTGTAAATGCAGTGCGACGGCATCAAGACAAAGTTATTAAAATAAAGTATTATTTTGCAACTAATTATTTTTTATTAGCCTGATAAAATGAGAGGAATCTATAGACGCTTTTAAATTTTTTACATTAAATAAATATAAAACACTAAAAGACTTTTATTTATAACCGTGAAAGGACATTCACATTAAATTCTCAGACCATATGTATTAATTTATAATTTTATTTTAAATTAAATTATGATATAACTTTAATTTAATTAATTGTACTTCTCATATGATATGTAAATATGTTATACGTAGACCTTCACTGCTAGTCACTTCACTTCACTTCACGTATGAGCTAGTTTATGGCTACTCAGCAAGCTATGGAGAGGGCTATGCTCGGAGTCCCTTTGCGTGATAGACTTATAAAAGAGTGTATCGCAGCAGAACAAGATTAACCGGTAAAGCCCCACGGTTCTGTAGACTTAAGTCGCTATGTAGCCGGTCATATAGCTCGAAGAATCAACAACAGATGGATGAGAAAGGTTCACGTGTGGCAGCCTCGGTACCGGTAGTAACGAAGTGTAGGACGGCCCCCACAAAACGACTACGAATGACGACCTGGTGTGAGATGCATAATGTCGATTGATTTTCTTGCAACACACAGCAAATTTTATGTGTTTTGTTGAATGTATGTATGTATATATTTTTATTAGTAAAAGTGAACACACTGGCCAATGTAGAAGAAGGGTTCCGTAGTTGGCCGTCACAATACATGGTCTTTCTAGATAATAAGCGTGTTCGCGGTCTGACCGATATAACTATTAAAATGGGTCCAAATAGGAAGATGGTAACTGAAGGACTTATTTTCAAATCAGAGGGTGAATTTGAAAAGTAATTTGAACAATTTGGGAGTGAAATTGAAAAACTTTTCAATTTTAAAAATATTACAATTTACATTAAATCGTTCACATGCCAAATCCGTACAAAGATGGTCATAGTTGACTATCTATCTTTGTATTCCCGGCAGTGTAACCCTAAGATATATATGACCGTAACGCATCTTCCCGTAAACCACCACTGCACTTCCCTAAATTCTCCTGAGGGTCGCCCGCGCAATCCAAGAGAATTACGAATGAAACTCTATGAGGCTATTTGATTGTATGAATACTTCAAATGTGTTCAAGATTCAGATTAAGGAACCCTATTTGTCTCTTTAACTCCTCTCTCTTCCTCCTCTTAGTTATGATCATTAGTCTACCTAAAGTATGTTGTCATTTTAGTTTATATAAGTTTGTATTTTTTTTTCTAATTTAGTGCACCCTACCCGTTAACCTTATTTTTATTTTTATTAATTTCCTCTTCTGGGTTGTCTGGAAGAGATTGCTATGTTGCAATAAGACCGCCTTTTGTCTTTTCCTCATTGTTTATTCATTATTTGTTATATTTATGTTTCGCTGGTGTACAATAAAGAGTATTGTATTGTATACTTTGAATGAGGCCTACAATAACTACAAATTAAAATATAAGGGAAAGTAGTAAGTAAGAAATATCCTCCATGCCTATTCCGCAAATAAAAAGTAAAGCTATAATAGTAATGTATATGTCATTTTCTTAGATGTTTCTTTCCTATACTCGTAGTTCACAATAACTTTATAAAATTATAATCCAGCTAGTTTTATGTCATTTTCTATGGATTTGAAACGAAATTTTTACTAATTCAAGTGCATTTTATAAGTTGGTCGACTATTACTCGTTAACTCGTTTATTTCCAAAAACAGCGGTTTAGTTGGTAGAGTGGGGGAGAGGGGGGGGGGACTTGACTCTTATGAAAAATACGACTTTAAAGCTTAATATTTCGCAAACGAACTCCTGAACCGAAAAGATGTTCTTCCATACATTCCCAATGTTTTTGAAAGACCTATCCAACGACCCGGTATCACACGATGGAATAGACGGGTAAAAAAAAATCATCATCCATTTACCTGTTTAGGAGGTATCCTAAATAAAAATATTTTTTAAGATTTTATTTTACAGTTCTGTAGGCGTAATTAATATCTATAAATACGCCAAATTACAGATTTGAGAACAGACGGACGGAAGGACATGGCGAAACTATAAGGGTTCCTTGTTGTGTAACTACGGAACCCTTAAAATGACTTTCAATAAGAATTACACGTAATCTATATTGAATAAAAATGATTCTTTCTTCGATATAATTAATTTATGAATAAGATCGTTAAACGTAAATTATTGTTATCCAGTACCTAAATGCCTTGTTTACCGATTGACTTAGGTTTTCTAATTTTGAGTAAAGTAAAATACATAAAGGGAAGCTTAATAAAACAAAATAAACAAATATTGATGGAAAACAAAAGGGGTATTGTTACTGCATAGCAATTTCTTCCAGACAACATAAAAATTAATTAAATAATAATATTAAAATTTAAGGAAAATTAAAAAACACGCAATTGTCATGAGCTGTGATAATTCTAAAAAGGACACTAGGATAAAGTTTTTAAATTGTTATATTGTCATCGGTCCTTGATGCGAGTGCAAAATTTCAAACCAGTCGGTCATCTGCAAGTCGATTAAAAGATTCCGTTACATAGATAGATACACTCGAAGCTATTAAAAGCGTGTTATAAAAAAAGGAGAAGGATTAACGGGTAGAGTGCATTTTTTGATTTGAATTTGACCAACTTATGCAGTAAAACGACAACAGACGTTAGGCGGTAGGTCAATGACCGTAAATGAAAGGAGGAAGATGTAGGGGTGAGACTGAGAGAAACAAATGATGTTCCTCAACTTGTAGGTAGTGTAACTATTATTCCATAATAAGGTTAGGGCGCTATTTGTTTTTATTTTTTATTTGAAACAAACTGCGATTATGCAATTAGAAATCACAACGAGGCTCTACGTCACCTTCACCTCACATTCACCCACTCCTGAGCGCTTGTGCAATTGCTGTATAGAGTTATTCTCATGCAAACTTTTATCAAATTTAGCAAGAAAAAAATACATTCGATTAAAATATTATAATTCTATAAAAATCATCATTATCATTATAACGAATCCAGCCTATCAGAGTGAAAATATTTGCTAACATTTCCACGCTCAGCAGGCGGGTATACACTACTGCAGTTTTTATTATCTTTGAATGATATGTCGGGATGATATGGGGTAGTGTATATTCTAACACCGTCACGACATAGAAAATTCATTCAGGTATATCGTGATGTAGCCTAAAATGGTGAACTTAGCTTTTAGGAAAGCTTAGTTAGTCCGTGCTTAGTCCGCGTTTGAAAAAAAAACGTTTTCATTTTCCATTAATGCGTTCGTTGATTAAACTCATGTAATTCATCTTATTTTTCATCATCAATCCGTAATGTTCACTGCTGGTCTCTTCAGTTGAAAGGAGAATTAGCATTAACCATTATGCTTGATAAATGGATTAGCGATGGCTTTGATGCTGTTTCCTGTGTTTGATTTTATAATACTGCCATCTACTGGAAACCGTGAGAACTTTCTGACATCTCGCATATCTAGTCGCCTCTTACTCATATTTCGGTCACGCAGCTAACACTATATAATATTGTAGTCTTTGGCTAACACCAAGCTACTACATGGTAAACTGGCAAACACTACTTATTCTTTGTATTATAGCTTGGTATTTTACCGATTGATATTGAAGTAATAATGATGATGATAGTAACATTTTAATTAATAATTTTAATTCTTTGACATACCTACAGTATTTTTTTTAGATATTTACTGATGTATATGTTTCGTCATATTGTAAATAAGCGAAAATTTTTAATAAATTTCTAAGTAACAAATGCGAAATATGAAAGGATTTATAATAACGATAAAATTTTAGAATAACCTTCCAACAGATACTCTACGATAGACCGATCAAAGCGCAGTGTCTGTTAGTGCGTCACGATGCGAGCCCTACTTCTGTTGACGCTATTTTTTCTCTCGATTTGTCTTGCCGTTGCTGCACCACAATCCAAGCTACAAGTAAATCCAGGTAAGTTTGTTAAGTGATTACATTAAAAAAACCTTCATTACTTTGATTTATACCGAGTGTATAATAACAGATCGTACAAATTCATGTGAATATTTATTAAAGGGCACTACACAAATGTTATTGTGAACGTATCTTAATGTTATTTTATCGTAATACCAACATTAACTCTTAAAATGTAACAAAGAACATTAAATTCTGCGCAGATTAATTGCCTGCGTCGCATTTTACGTCGCTTTTTAGGATTAATGTCCATTGATGGCAGCATTCCAAGTTTGTAGTGATCTGATAACGCGTGTTCTGTTTATTTTTTCTCGCAAGATAATAAATTACATTAAAAACGTGTGCATATTACTTACCAATTAAAGTTATGAGAAAAAAATAAGAAACCGTAAGTAGGGGTTACTTCACTTTTTTAATTAAATGGAATTGGGATTCATTGACATTATAAAAATTTGATTTGTTTTAAATCACGATTCATATATTCACATACAAGTCTGAAAATGAAAATTTAAATAGAAAAATAGAGGTTCGATTATTTGAATATTATTACAGATTATTTGCATCATGAATTTAAATACTCCAAACACTAAAGTACATAATGACATATCATTGAAACAACGTTAAGCAAAAAAGTTAATTCTGATTATTTATTTTTATAATTTACTTTGTTTGAAAGATTCAAACTTAAATTAATAATAAAGAAGCATGCTTTGGATTTACGTAAAAAAGTTATTTTAAATCGTGTAAGTACGCTTATACAAAGTTATTGCGGAATGGTTAATGTGAAATGTCAAAAGGTATTTCT